TCGAGAAGAATATCCTCCCTACATGTGGTCGCCCGTACCTTCTTGGAGACCTTGTGCTGCTACAGCATTGGGTGTGCCACCACATGGAATCAAAGGGTTTTGGAAAAACTCCCGCCTACTTGGAATGGAAGGGGGCTGAATACCTAAAGAAGGTAGAATATCCAAGTAGGTCACCTGACCTGTATCCCCTCAATTACCCGGTTCGGGCGGAGTTCAATAGGGTGGTCTACGTGGCGGAGAAATCAACGATCTCGCTCAACTCCGGTACCCACTCACTTTCGCGCGGCCGAATCTCTCGATGGCGCTCCTCCAGAAGGCTGTGGCGGAGTATCGTTATAGTATTTAATGTGCTCTTTAATATGGTAGTAAAAATGTCCGATAAAAATTTAATAAAGTGTAACTTATAGCGCCTTGAAAGTCATGGAGGCAAAATGACTTTTTTTTGCCCCCCCCCCCCCTGTATATGCATCTCCAGTGGAAACTGATGGGCACCGCGGTTTTTTTTTTCACATAGGAGAAAAATCGTGTTTGATCACAATCGATAAATGCTGAATCTGATGACAAGTAGTCTTCTTTCTATGTGCTTCTAACCATAAGAGGCCCCTTTATGGTACCTCCAGATGTGTATCTATACTATGATACGCACTTTAGTGGCAAGTGGGACTTGCGAGGGGGTCTCGTGGAAGTGAGTTTTGAAGCAGATTCCTCCCACGCTAATTGAGCCATCCATCCCTTCAGAGTAAATAATTTGGTGCAAGACTTTTAGAAGATGCGACGTATTGTACATTGGCTAACGCTAGCAAGTGGTTGTATGTATGTAGGCCATAGCAGAGTCACAAACTCACCAGAATTCGCAATGGAAGTTGAACGCGTGTTGCATCCCGAAAAGACCCAAAGTCGAGTGACTGAATCGCTTAAATCGCGAGGCATGAACGCAACCTAACATCGTTCGAAGCTGATTTTGCCGTGATTGCGAAATCTTTGAAGTTGAACTCAGTTGAAAAATTTTTGTGCTGTGGTGAAGAGTTCAAAGCAACTGGCGAGATAATTAGAGGGATTTCTTTGTTAGCTTCACCTATTTTTTTGGAATCTGTCAGGCTGCGCTCACACCTTGCGGCGGCGTCCAGCAGTCCAGTACCGGCGTCCACTAGCGTTCCGGGCATCCGGCAGCGTCAGCGACTGAGAAAGTATAGACATCGATTGGTAGAGACTATGGCGCGATACCAGGGTAGCGGACAGCTGGTAGAGGATGGCGCGATAGGAGGGTAGCAGAATTCTGGTAGGCGATAGGAGGATACTAGCTCTGTGCTACCCTCCTATCGCGCCATACTCTGCTCCTCACTGGTAGACCCTGGTAGATGCTGGTGCACGCTGCCGCAAAGTATGATCGCAGCCATAAGATTCCTCGAGCTACACTGCTGCTCGTTGCTGTAATTTATTCATTGATCTGAACTGTACTGACAAAAGAACGCCTTGAATATACATACATAATATCCATTGCTTTCAGATTCTGGAAGTTTCTGCAAAATGCACCTGCAAAAAACAGACGAGCTTCCGTTTTTCCAGTCCTTTATGTGTCGGTCATTTACGAAAACGTTCCTCGCAGAAACCACTGTACACGACATTCCTTCCTACACGTACGGTTTCCAAATTCCAAGTTAAATTTTTCCAAGTGAATGAAAATGTTTCTTTGCAGGTTCTCAGTTCCTTACGAGGACTATGACACAACGGCTGACGTGAATGTCGGATTTCGCTACAAGAACATTGAGAAGGTCAATTATTTTCCGGACTGGCCATCTTGTCCTGAGTAAGCGAAGGATTTTTTTAGTTTTTATATCAATCATAAGCACGGTTCTTGATGAAGTAATTGGTGTGGTAGTTCTTGCAAAATGTAGGGTGGTTTTTCTTTTTTCGTCAATTTTTCGAGCACATTTTATTCCAGTCAGTTTACGAAATATCAGTAAATAAATATATGTAGAACAGAACAAAATGCCATCAATGATTATAAATACCCGCCACTGACTTTATCCTGCCGCGTAAGACAGCTTTCATATTAGGTTGTCGCATAAGTTCTTGGCCACGACTTTTTTCGTAAATATCTCAATAGCGAACCAACCTGAAGATTAGAGGTATGCATCATCACCATCCACTACTCGACGCCAGCGCTCAGGCAGCTTGTCGATTCCTTCCTTCCAGAACGACGGGGGCTGGGACTTGAAGAAGTCGTCGAGTGCCTTTCTGACCTGATCCTTTGTTTCGAACTTTTTCCGTCCAGAGAGCGCTGCAGGTGGCTGAACAGCCAGTAGTCAGAAGGAGCGAGGTCAGGGCTGTAGGGAGGGTGGGCGACCATCAGCCATCCGTACTTCTCCAGCTCGGCCTGGGTCGCCTTTGCAGTGTGAGGTCGGGCGTTGTCATGGTGGAAGTAGATTTCCGCATTCCTTCCACGAGTACGGTCGACGTGATCTTTCAATTTCCGCAGCTGGGTCACGTATGTGGAAGCGTCAATCGTCTGTCCCTTCTCCAGCAGCTCCCAGTACTCCATGCCTCTTCTGGACCACCAACAGAACAGGGGAACCATTTTGGTGTGAAGGTCGGCCTTTGAGGTGGCTTCTGGCTGTTCTCCTTTGTCGACCCACTCCTGCTCCCTCACAGGGTTATCGTAGAGGACCCACTTCTCATCTCCAGTGATCATCGAGTTGAGAACGCGAAGCTTCTTTTGTGAATCGTTAAGCAAAACCAGGCAGTGGCGCAGGTACATTCTGTCACAGTGCAATTGTGTGTACTGCAAATGCAAGCTCGGTGAGTGATAGCTAGTGTAATGAAAGAGTATAATGTACACGTCACGCACACGTGATGACGTAATACCAACATCCATGCGAACGAAATAGGAGAGGATCAAACACGTGTATAAGAACTTATGCGACAACCTAATACTTAGCGACAGCTGCGACAATCGCCGCGATTGTCGGTACGTCACAGAGCGGACCCAACGCTATTACTTGGACCGCTTGCTTTGATGAATAAGGAAATCCAACATGTGAGACCTCTTGATAATGGCTACTGAGTGGAAACATATGACTTTCTGTACTTAAATTATTACCTTTTCTTTACCCGTGGTGGGTGTGCTACAATACGCTACTAGAAGCTATGTGCAAAGCTCCGAGTCTGAAAGTTCGGTTGGTGAAGAGTAACAAACTCTGGGAATGTTCACCCGCCGGCCAGCGGACACGGGGGTGGATCCAAAATGGCCCACGGAACAGATTGCGTGGCATGCACGGCAAATGCCACGGCATCACGGCACTGTGTAAACTGGCGCCGTGTAGCAAGAAAATCAGTTCTGACGTGTCAGAATTGATTATGAAGTGAGTAAGATCTGATGAACGAGTGAATGCACTGGTTCGCCAGAGTTTATGCGTTGGATTTCACTGGAGGGCTCAAATTTTCTTGTTCTACAAATACAGATGTGTCGCACTTGCTGTCTCTGCATAAAAATCCTAATATATACATAATTTGGGAAGCCTATTGGCTATGCATTTGTCCGGAAATCTAGTTCTTTTGAAAAGACAATTGAAAAGCCTGGGTCTGGTTTGATATGTGTCGGTTGTATGACAGCAAACATGAGCCAGCAGTCTAGCTTGGGGCTTCTTCATTTGCGACCAGGACTTGATGTAGCTGCAGTTCTCTTGAAGCAAAATGATCAAACATTGTACGTCACAGGTGTTGCTGAAGAAAACATCGTGTGCGCATCTCCCTTTACATTTCATGTACAGGGATGCACCTACGACGCTTGGTCAACTCTGTTTCACAAACCGTTTACTGGACGCTGGTCAGCATTGAAAATGAACTAAAAAGTGGTTGTTGTTAGTGACGACCCATTACAGCGAGGTTATTTACTGCAATGAATGCGAAGAGTTACAACACAATGCTGTGCTGCTGTCTGAGCTACAATTTCACTGAAAGAAGTAATTGAAGAGCACGAGAAAAAGTGCCCTGTGAAGTGCGTAGTACCTCTTCGCATTCATTGCAGTAAATAACTGAATTGTGATTCTTGGACTTTCACCTTCATTACAGAGAGTAGTACCAAAGTTACTCTTTCGGTCTCAAGAATAGATGGGTCACGTTAACACTATCATGGAACTGCTGTGAGTTGTCGTAGTCTTACCGGTGTAGCTCGTGAACGATATCCTTATTGTATGC